AACTAAGAAATATGTTTACCCTGTTTTAATATATCAATCAACCTCAGCAAACCTTTAAGAACTCAAACTCAGAATAAATTATAATTGGATAAATCCTTCACATATTTAATCAGCCAAAAACTAGTTTGCTAAACCCCAAACCAAAATCGATACCCCTAGCTAACTCAAAACGAACCCAATTAATGTGTGAAGCTCAAGAAAAACTTGATGAAAAACTCATAAACCAATTGAGCGCCCTTTTCACCAAACTGCAAAAAGCAATCAAGAGAGGGGTTAGATGCAAAGAAATCGCATCAGAAAAGAACCGGGGATAGCAAGGAAAAACAGGATAATTATTCAAACACTTTCAAAGTCAAACATACACACGGGCAGACGTGAAAAGTGTTCCCCTAACGGAAAACGTGGAATTGAAAATGTTTTTGGAAAAACTTTGTCGTTGCAACAGACGGAAAAAGTAGAAAGAGGGATGATGATGGTTGAGTTTCGGTTCCATTCGGGATGTTGCATTCACAGCGAAGGGAATCGAAACGAGAGTGGAAAAAACATATGCGGGACCTCACGACACAACCATATCCTGTAAACGTCTGGCTGTGTGCACATGTGTGAGTTTGCCAGACAAAATAACTGAAAAACAAAAACGGGCGAAGGTTGTTCAACCAACCACCGCAGGAAAAAGACCAAAAACAGGATAGGGAATTTGGAAGGGGAACAGCATCAGCATCAGCATCAAAATCAGCCGAGAGCAGCTGTTCCAAAAAGTGGATGGCACATACACAGTGGGTTTTGTGAACGGGAATGAGGAGAATCGTAAATAAAACTATGCATGTGCACTGCTTTCGTTTTTGGCCTTTGGCACACACATCTTTTTCGGTGGTTGGACGCGGCCCAAAGGCGAAGTTACGAATGCCATGCGGGAACTGAACTCCCCGACCGAGATTAGCACAGGATTTGCGACCCGATAGAAATCAGATGGGGGAATTAGAACTGAAAAGACTGGCTCCGAGAAAAGTCGAGCCTTAAAAGTACCCTTGAATACCTTAAATGCAAAGCAAAGCTTTTTATGAAAATTTAATAAGGATTTAAAATTCAACATAGTGTTTTAAGGAAAGAAGATCCGTGTTCTTCAAAGAATATTTATAAAAAGAAAATGTTGAGTATTACCTCCGAAAACACTTTATAGTTACCATTTAATTATTTCCTTTTTAAAGTCTAAGAAATGTATTAAAATAAATATAGAAAATGTTATTTATATGTAATTGAATACAAATGAATGTAATTGAATATTGAAGGAAGGTTTTTTCTATAAATAATTGATTACTTTTAATCGAATTTACCCCATATAATTTATTGGAAGATATAATTGGTATTAAAATCAATTAAATAAATATTGATTGTGACTTTTATTATGAAATTTAATGTCTCTTAATCCCCAACATAATGTTCTAAAAAACGTAATAAACGTAAATTTATTTTAATTATTATTTTGACACAGTGTGTTCCCACAGTTTCATTAAGTTTATAGACGTAAAAAGCCACAATGTACACAATATACCAATAAAACATAAAGGCCATTAAAAGGTTCTAAATTGTTCTTGCCCAAATCAGCCTGTTGCCGGCGAACAAGGAACAGAGAACGGGTAACTGGCCAAAACAAAGCCAAAGCCGGGCTCAGAGCCTAAAAATAACAGGAACTGGCTAAGCCAAGTCAGTTGGTGAGTTAGTGACTGAGTGAGCCTAGACCAAAGACACCTTGCCAAGAGGCTGACCGGGCCAAGACACTGGGATGCCAGGTTGAGGTCCAGGTCCGAGTCTGAGTCCGAGTAGAGTCGACTCGAGTCGAGAAGTCCACCGGCCACAATTCGTGCAGGAAGCGGGTTTCGTCGATGCAGGCAAAAGGTTTACACTGTCTTTTTTCAACCTTCTGTTGGTTCGTCCGCCGTTGGTTCGTCGTCTGCCTGCGCACCTCCCAAAACCAGTTGCAGGTAGTTTAAAGTAAAGCCCAAAGATCTTCGCTCATTCGCTCGTCTTTTGGGATACCTTATAGCATATTTCTTATGCGACTGCTGCGCAACCTAAGTCGTCCGCCGTCTGTCCCGTCCATCCGTACATACATACCTACGATTCGGATACAAATATATACCTTTATATATATATATATACAAGTCTCTGTCGTTTCTTGACTCTTTCGAGTCGGTTGCATTGGGGAAATTTCGTAGAACTTTGCCTAGGATTAATTGGTTAAATGTTTGTTGTTCTTGTTTCGTTTACGTCGTTTTTTTTTCTCAAGAGTGCCATTTCTGGGAAACAAATTATAAATTGAGTAATCTAGCACTAAGCATCGATTTCGGTTTTTATTAGAACCATTTCAAGTGTTTATGGTTGAGAGGGGGAGGCACTGAAAATCAAAGAGGTTTAGGTAATTACCGGGAAAGCGAAGTTGGCTTGAATCTGATGATTTTTTTAACGATATATATTTCCAAAATTTAGTTTTTTCACAATTAAATGACTGAAGAGAAGTCACACTTCACTGCAACACCTTGACTAATCGAAAATTTCTCTAAGAAACATGACCAACTAATGTTGCACAAAACTTTTATAAGCGGATTTCGTTAAAGTTTCTATTTTTACTTGGCCATGTTGCCGAAGTTCACCCAAAACAAGAACTACTTAACGACTTGCGTCGCCTTTTTGCGTTGCCCCACTCCATCCGCGGGGCACTTCCTTCCGCACCTGTAAACCACGCTTCACCTGCTTTGGGCTTTCCGACCCCCGTCCCCCTTCAACGGGCACCACCTTTAACTAAGAACCCGTAAACAAAAAAAGAGACAAAAAAAAACATTTCCTAGCCTAGGCTGGCCGGCTGCATCTAACAAGTTCGACATTTGGCACTTGAATTTAACGCTTGATTGCATTCCAACCCAAGTTTCAGTACCCCTCTATTTCGTTCCCTACTTTTCAGGACAGGATCTTTATATATGAAGTCCAACTTCCATAAGTCAAACTCTTTTTTAGTACTCGAAAATTGTGTGGTCATATATTACTTCATAAAATGATGTCTGGACTTTGACTCACATAAAAACTATATTTTGAGAAAACAAAAATGTCCCAGACCAAATTAATAAAAACATTTTAATGAAATAAAACTTGTTTTGAAATACCGAAGGGGTGTTTTTTAAAATTTTACATGAACTGTAAGCCTGTTATTAATGGACAACATTAATTTGGGTTTTGAGGCTTTATTGCCATTTCTTTAAAAAACATTTGAATTACATCTTTAACTGAAACCTTTGGTGAAATTTAAAATAAATGTTTTAGCTAGTTATCAACTGCTAGACCCACCACGGCTGATTATTTCTTTGTGAAGCCAATCCAAACGTCAACGACTTCATTCTGCGGGTTCCACATTCAGTTGAACGAAGGGAGTCGGGGGTTTAAGTTGTTTTAAAGGGAAGGTATCGAGGGATATACTTGAGGCTCTTCTTGGGCCTCTTCTAGCTTCACATAGTTTGCCTTTCCACGCTTTGTGTGTTTCTCTTGGCTCCTCCACTTGTGGCTCGTCTTCGGACTTCCACTTCCACTTCCTTGTGCCTAAACCCTCGGCCCCTTTGTGTGCCAGTTTTTCACTGGCTTCCCTGCGGACGACCCGGCCACTCCCCCACCACTCCACGAAAAACCCGCCCAATAAACTGGCCTCACTTTGCGTTTTGATTATAGCCGGAAATGCCGTTTTACACGTGAATGAAATTTGTAAATGCAGCGTTGCCAAACTTCTGGCTACACTACAAATAAATGAATAGGAAGTCGAGTTTAATAATAAATTGGGTACAATTTATATCAAGGTTTTCGTTTAACTCACACAAATTTAAAATTGTTCTGCTTTAATGAAAAGTCAAAAGAATTTAAAGTAAGTATTGAACGGAATTCATTTTCTTTTGATACATTCCTTTTAAAGAAAGATACACTTTTCTGATTAGATTTAAAATTAAAATTTGCAAACCCATGTTTGATATTTTAGTTTGCCAGTGAGCAAACAAGAAAACAAGCAAATATTTGAAGCTAACCCCGTTTAGGCAACAATTAATGTAAAATTTTGCACAGAAATGTAAATCAAAAGAGTCAAGGGGATATGGAAAAAGGCAGTGAGAGGCCGAGGAACGGAGAGATGTGCAAATAGAAAAAGGCCAAAGAGAGGGAAAGACCAAAATATGGAAAGCCAGCGCTTAGGGTAAGAAATATATTATAGGAAAAATCCACCCTCGGGGGGCCACAGCGTTGAAAAATGCACAAAGGCACAAAGCCATGAAGGACAGCTCAGGCCGGGACTGAGGGTCTGAATCGAAATGAGTACGAGGATGTTGACGTTGCCTGCTGCACAAAACATCAACAGCAACACAATCAAAAGGGTTACAGAATCAAAGGCCTAAACAGAAGGTTGCTGAACCCACGGGGAGACCGTGACAAAAAAGCACATAGCAAAATGGAAACGGAATGCGATAAGGTACCGATGCTGCAAATACCCTTGCCGACGGATTGTTTATAAATCACCTTTAATTATTTTGTATGTAAAGGGATTATAGCAATTGAAAACAATCCATCAGTTCAAAGAATTGTACACATATGTATGCAGTTGTTAGATAAATTTATCTATTGAAAAAGTCCTGTGTTTTAATTATTAAGATCTTTTCATTAAAAGTTCTTATTATCTTATTGGTAGTAAAAAACTAAAGTTCTTCTTTCTCAACAATATTATATTTTGCCAATAATCCAATATCGAAGTCAATCTTTGTTGGAGAATATATATTTTTCAAAGAAATATAAAAGTATTGCTACCCAACTTATTTTAGATATTTTATTAATCTAATTGGCACGTATCAGCGGGATGTCCTTGGTCACCCATCAAAACATCCACAATATAATCAGGCTCTCTGCAGCACCCATTCAATTCCATAGCAACACCCCCTTCTATTTAATCCGGATTAAATAAAGACGATCTTACTTACCAGACAACTCCGAATGCTCCATAGCCGATGGGACGATCCGGCTGGACATCCTGGGGAACGGCCGGCGGCTGATAGTAGGGAGCCGCAGCGGCCAAGATTGCGCTGGCGCCCTGTGGCGCACCACCGGCAGCACCACCCTGTACCAGTGACATCGAAACGCTCATTGATGGACTACGCGGCGAGTTTACCAAATAATTCGAGCAGCTGCACCCGGTTCTGGTATTTGTTGACGACGATGGAGCTCCTCAGTGGTTGTGGCTCTGCTGGGCTGGTCTTCCTCGCTGGTGTGGTGGTGGTTTGGACTGGGTTTTGGACTGCGGTTCTGGTTCCCGAAATGGGGTCGGTGGTGGTGGTGGCGGCTGAGGTGGCGGCGGTGGTGGTGGTGCTTGATTTGATGTGGGAGAAATGGTGTTGATTGCTCAATGGATGCCGCTGGGGGCCACTGATGGCCGCCATTCAATTGTTGGCCATTTGTTGCTGTTTGGCGTGCCTCTATTCAACGCTATTCTTCACGCTGCGTGCTGTTCACGTCGCTTATTACACTTTTTACTTATTTAAATGAGATTTGAGGACATTGTGAAGAACTGTAGAGTGGAGAGGAGAAATACACAAATGTTAATTCTTGGGTGTTTTCATTGTAGATGGATAAATTGTATGGTAAATACTTCAAATTTTGTTTAGGCAAATTTAGATTTTTATTGTATTGCACAAGTCTATTAACACTTTTAGGTATTTAGTGGACTTATTCAGAGAGCACAGAATAAATCTTAAATCTGCCTATAAGTTCTTAATCTCATGAAAATGAATTATAACTAGTGCTTGATTCTATGGCTTTTTAAAGATTTCAATAATTTTTGTAATAATACATTTTGCAAATTCTTTTTAACCATAAAAAATATTTTCTGATTTCTATCAAACATTTCCAGGACACTGTCTTTTAATTAACATTTTTTTTCATTTTCTTTTTGGGTTGTTCACTGTACTTTAATTGCCATTACTTTTGTTTGCTTTTCAAATTTTTGGTGGCAAATGAAGCTGGACACAAAAAAACACGAGAGAGCGCGAGAGAGAGGACATGGAAAAGTGCCGTTAGCTGGCTGTCGCGACCGGGGCGCGTCCGTGTATTACAGTTGCAAGTGTGTGTGTGTGGGTGCTGTAACTGTGTGTGCGCATGTGAGTGCTATTCGGAGTGATTTTTCGACTGCGCTGCCTGCGCAAAAAGCCGCTCAAAAACACAAAAAAGAAGCACTAAAATCACTTAAAACTAGACTTTTCATGCAATTTAAACATTTTTAAGGCCAAACAATGATGCGAACGCAACTCACAAACCAAAGACAAACAAACAAACAAAAAAGCTCAAAAAGCGAATAAAAACGGGACAAAAGAAATTTGCCCGGGGATAAGTAATATTTCCCAGGGCTTAGCTTTTCCGGACTAATTAGACAATGTTTGCATAGGATTTCCCTTTGATTTACCTTAAAAAATGCACAAAATATTGAGCAGCAACGCGACGGTGGCAGTTTATATTTTTTATATATTACTATATTTTAACTCTTCCGCCTTTGTAAGAGTGAGACAGACGAAAACGCGCCGGGGGTAATAATCGTGCGTGTGTGTGAGAGAGAGAGAGATGGGAATACAATTTTGTAATTTTTTCAAAATTATTATTGTAAATAACGCGAGACGAATTTGTTGTTGTTTGGTGTGTTACTACTACTACTGCGACGGCTGCTCACACACACACACAATCTCACGCACGTTTATACTTTGCATATATGTATATGCAAGCAGAAGCAGGCAAACAAACAATTTGCCTGGGTCACGTTTCTTGGCTCTCTCGCAGCTTTTATTGCCTTTATTGCATTATCTTTGCTATCACACGACTGCGGGCGTGGCTTGGGAGCGGGGCGGCGTTTGTTTAATTACCTCGCAGCTTCCCTTCGACTTTGTTTAACTTCGATTTTCGATCACACGCGGCGGATTCCTCGATTTCGTGCGCTCTTTTTTAGTTGTTCCGCTGCGGTCGAAAGTTGTTTTTGTACTGCGGGAGGGAGTTGGGGATATGCGCTATAGGTGGAACCCATCGTTGTTATCGATGTTTATAGACATTAATAATATCGATGTTTGGCAGCCCATCATCAATGTTTTTCCATCTCTAACTGGTTTTGAAACAAACGGTCACACCAGAAATCGTAATCCAGATCATGTTAATTTTTTCAGTTCATTTTTATTCCGATTTGAAACATACTTTTAAATGATTGTGGTTGCATTTCAATAATTTCTTACAGAAATCCGATTTCGCATTGGCATATTTTTAAATGATTGTGGTTTAATTCTATAAAGATCAGTATACTCATATTGTTTTTCATTTTTGGGTCGATTTTTTGTAATTTTAATTCCAAATTTTCGAAAAATGGCTTTTCTTACACAAATTGGAAAGTGGCATATTGCTGTGGTTTAGTTCTCAAAAAATCTTTATCTTCATCTTGGCTTGTATTTTTGGGGTCGATTTTTAGTTATTATTAACAATAATAAATTAATAAATAAAAATTAATAACAATTAATATTTCCATTCTTACGTTACGTTCATTTCGTTGCGTATGGTGACAAAATTCGAGCTAGGTGGCAATACTGTAGATACTGGATTAAATACCGAAAAAAGTATCGATTTTCGATACAAAAGATTGCTGACACCACGCAAGCGTTGTTCCATCCCTATTGGATCTTTTAGTTTGTTTTGATTTAGGAAATAACATGGAACACGCGACTAATGACTTAAAGGAGTATATCACCGACCAGGTGATTCCGCACCAGCGATGCAATGTGAACATCAATCCGGACCATATCACCATGCTGGAGGGCACAAAGATAAAGAAACAGCATTCCCGCAAGCGACGGGCACACAAATCTGGAACTCTGAGTCGCCGGGAATACGCGGAGCTGGGACTAAATACACTCCCGACCAAGCAGATGAAATACGAGGAAGCACTACCACTACATAATCTCTGGAAGGGATATGTTCGAGAGCATCTGGAGTTAAGGGAAGGAGCAGAAGTGCCACAAGTCCACGATCCTCGCTACGATGAGTTCAGCAGGCAGTTGGTGAAACTAGATCTACACGGTGCTAAGCTAAAAGTCATCCAGTCCAAATGCCGCACCTTGGAGAATCTATCAGGAATCTGTATCATGGACACGAAGAACGTGCTAAAACTTCTGGGTAGGGATCATCGACTGCGGACAATCCCAAAGAGTGAGTGCGTCTTCGGTTTAAGAGTGGGCAACATGGACTTTACCATCTTCGGACAGCACCTCAACATTCGTCCTGCCGAGCGAAGCGTTAAGAAGATCAAGAGCTATGTGGAGCCCTTCATGTAGGGGCTATAAGTCCTATAATTAGCCTAAGAAATGGAATCCTATTGTTTCTTTTATAATAAAAAAAATTTATATTCCGGAAAGGAAACCTACGTTTTGGAGTTTGTCTTCAATTAATTATTTAAGGAATAAGAGTGTTTCGTAAGGCTATTGTCTAAATTTCTGTTTTTTTAATAACTAAGGTTATATTTAGGTCCGATTAGTCAGTTTGAATGCCTCGTTTATGATACTTTTATAAATCAGTTTATTGAAAGCCTTTTTAAAGTGACTAAAGTATATGTAATATAAAGTCCGTATAATTTGTTTTTGATCTACAAATATCTTTTTTCCGTTCCTTTCTTGAATTAAAATATTTCAAATTTACACTCGAATTTCCAAGTGTATTTCAAGAATATCCTTGAATAGATCTCTTTCACAACGTTTCCACATTTCTGCAAACTCTCCATAGTTTAGTTATTTCTTGTTTAATACATATATAAAACCGTACATTAAATGTTTTCTGAAGAATATCGCGCCACGTTTCGTTTTTTTTAGTTTCTAGACATTTCGTTTAGTTGTGGGAGAGATTCCCCAATTTCCCCTTTTCCCAGTTCGAAGGACAGATTTATGCGGCCGTCTTGGTCATGGTAATGACGGCGGATGGAACCAAGCCGAGCACCTCTAGCGGCTTCTCGTAATCGTCCTCGGCGAAAAGTTTGCGTGGAAAGGTGGTCATCAGGGAGAAGGGCGACTCGATGCCGGTCTTCATCTGAATGAACACACGCACGGCGGACAGCTGCTCCTTGACATTGAAGGTCTCCTGGAGCGTGGAGCCATCCTGCAGGCGCACCTGGATACGGGTTTCGGTGTAGTCTCGCGGCGGAGACTTTACAGTTATGGGTGGCGATGAGACCGTTGTGGAGCTCACGGAGGGAGCTGGCTCTGGATTACCCAATTCCTTTTGTTCTCTGTTGGAAAAGATACAAATTTCAGGATAAAGCCAACTTTCTTAAAACCCATTGCTAGGATCTCATAATAAAGCTGCTAAAATAATGCTCACCTGGCCTTGCGTGCCGCCTTGTCCGCCTCGATTTGAGCCCTAACCCGATCACGGGCCGCCTTCTCCTCGTCCTTTTCGCGCTTGCGTTGCTCCACAATCTTCTTCATTTCGAGCTCCTCCATGCGTCGCTTGGCCTCGGTCATGTCTTTGCCGGATTTGATACGATTCTTTTCCCGCTGCAGTGCCTCGGTCTTTTCGCGTTCCTCGCGTTCGATGCGTTTCTGCTTGAGCTTCTCCTCGATGAGGGCCAGTTGAGCCTTTTTCTCCTCTTCAGTGAGGGCCTTCTTCTCCTCCGTGGACTCGGAAAAGTTGCTGTGTCCGGTTTTGGCTGCATGGTACTCCACTTCCGTGTGATCCTTTAAAACCTTGCCGCAATCGTCACATTTTAGGGACTTGGCCACCGGGGAATCTGCGGAGGTTTCGCCTGCACCACTGGTGCTACTGGAAGCCGCTCCGGCGGAGGAGTCCTCCGCAGCGGGTGGGGGAACAGCAGAATCCCCGGCATTTTGACGTGTCGGTATCGGATCATCCACGTGGGCCAGTAGCCACTCCATGGCGGGTTCTACTCCTTTGTTGCTGGTCACCTGCAAAGCATATTCCCTGCGGAAAATTCCATGGAAAAACCAAAGTCAATTTTCGCAAACTAACTTCTTTAGCCGGGGAAAAATCGGGGAAGTCCCCAATACTCACACACGTTCCCGGGGAAAACCCATATCCATTAGGGTCTGTACTTCACTCATGGCGTTCGTTTAATGTTTTTCAACAATATTTTGGTATAGTTTCGGGTATTTAATTTATGAAAATTTACAATGACACACAAAAACAAAGCTAGGCGCAGTGCTAGAAAATGCGGAAAGCGGTTAGGGAAAAGTCGCTGCACTATCGATAATTGACTAGGATCATCGGAATTTGCACATTTTTTTTTATGTCTTAATAGAAAAGGAATTTTTGACTTTGCTTTATATTTTATATAATTATGTTTAATAAATTTTAAAAAATTATTAAATTATTTACAAACATTTTAAGTTTTAAAGTAGATACCCATCCTCAATTTTTCAAATAGTGCTTACTATCGATAGTTCCGCATGGGCGGCGACGGTTTTCAACACTGCCAATTTGGCGTCGCTGCAGCCACGAAAATAGCTGCATTTCTTTTTGCTACTTTGAAAGAGAGTTTTCAATTTTCCCAGACGAAGCCATGTCGCCGAAGACTAAGAAAATGGTGGTCAAGATCCCACGGCACCCGTACTTCAATGTGCAGAGCGAAAGGAGCGTGGAACGGGAGGTGGAGTACCAGGTGCGATTAAAGCAAACAATTCATTAGTCAATAATTATCTGCCCTTTTTTTACTCTAACAGCTATTGTCGTCCGATATGTATACACATTTATAATCAAAAAGAAGACTGTTGAAAATGTGTCTTTATGTGGTGATTAGGGATGTAGTAGTCTATTGGTTGCGAGACCACCAGACAAATTTATAAAACCCTCTGGTTTATCAGATCCCAGATAATACAGCTGCTCCTCTGGCCTTGCGTGAGGCCTTGTCCGCTTCGATTTGAGCCCTTTCCCAATCACAGGCCATTTAATGTTTTTCAACAAAAATTTGCTATAGTGTTATGTGTTTTAATTTATGAAAATTTACAATTTTACCCAGGTGCGAAAGTGTCGCGTAAATCTCGAGCGGATAAAGTCATCACCGACTACTCGTCCATTCCCGTTGAAGCCAAAACCCAAGAGATGCATTGTTCGTGTGGCCCGATTGCCGGACGTGGAGCGGAGTGAGATTTCCGTAACCCCGGCCAGTTCCATTATTAATTCCGATATTGACGAGGGTAATACCAAGGGTTCTGCAAAACCCCCTGATATTTAATAAAGATTACTTTTTTAACTATTATTACATTGCAGGTAGTTCTAGTGAATAGCCAATCAAAGGACTAAAGACAAGACCGACTGCATCATCACCCAGCAACCTACTAATCCTAACTTAACTTTGGATTGTTCTTGTCTGATAAATTAACTCCAATGAACATCCAGTAATCATTCTCCCACGAAACCTGTGAAACAATATATAAAATAAATGTGAAATTTTTTTATTTTATTGGAAACATACGATATCTATAACCTTAATCTTTTTTTTTTAATTAAAACTGATTTTTTTACTTAACTTGCTATTTACAACTATTCTGAAAAACTTTCGAGTTCATTCTCGAAGCTAGGAAACAATATATACCGATAAAATTGTTTACTGAGCTGTATAACAGTGCCAAGCCATCTAGATTTCGATTTGTTTCTTGACAAAATCAAAACAAAAATTTAAAAATTGTACAAAACTGGCGGTATTTAGATAATTATCGAATAATGAGATCGAATACCTATGCATACAAGTTGGTTAACGTGAACTAAAAGATTACAAAAATTTACAATTTAAAACTAAAAACATATTATTAGCAAAAGTATTTGAAATTTCTTGAAACATATTTTATGAGGACATATCGATAACTGGGAATAATCGATATAGTCGAGAGTCAGCTGTCAGCAGAAAAATATTTCTGGAATAACAAAAACAGGCAAAATTACCCGTATCCAGTCGAAAAGTCAACTCGATCCACACTATGAACTGGCACACGGGCAACATTGTGGAGGCCGTGGCTGAATCGAAGGTCAAGGACGCCGTCTTCGTGGTTTTCATAGAGGGTAATTAATAACCCCTTCGCTTCTCCTGTTTTCACCACGTCATTGTTGCGAAATTTCACCGGAATTGCAGGCCAGGATGAGATGTCCAGAAAGCTGGAACGATTCGTGGACGATAACCGGGTGCGAACCCGTTTGGAGACCTCGGATTTTGTGGCCATCAAAGTCCAGGGAAATAGCTCCGCCTACGGACAGTTTTTGTCGCTATGTGAGTAACTCTATGGGTATGATAATACCAGATATATAAATGTTTTTATTTGGTCTTCCAGACAAAGTCGTGCCCATTCCCTCGCTCTTCTTTATTGGCAAATCGGGCACTCCCCTGGAAATAGCCACTGGAATTACGGAGAGTGCCGAGGAACTCGCCGCCAAGATCGACAAGGTCCTAATCCTGGCGGGAAAACGACCGGAGCCAGAGGCAGCCACCAGCAGCTCCTCATTTGCGGAGGCACTGGAGCCAAATGCGGTTAGAAGCTTTGCCGGAGCAGATGACTCGACAAGTTTGGGCCATGAGGAAACCCAAGCAAATCAAGAAGGTAGTCAAAGGTCGAAACGAAACGGGAATTTTTAACATATTATCAAGCTATTTCAATTCGCAAAAAAATACTTTAAAAAACAATTTTATTGTTTTAAATTCGAAACCAAAACCCGAATAAGTTACAGTTTTCTTTTATAAAACTAAAATATTGAGTTAATCAGTTAAGACAGTCATGAAATATGAAAAATATTACCTTTTACCTGTGCTTTTTAAGACCCGTTCAAAGGTTATATTTCATAGACAGAAATTTTCTACTAATTTCGCAATATTTTTTTTCCAGAAAAAATCCATGGACCTGAAACCACCTCAGTTTCAAACGCACCAATTGCAGAAGTGGAGGAACCCAAGTTGAATCCTCCAAATTCTCCTGCAGAAGCTAGTTTTGTCTCGATTCCTGCTGCTGTTTCAAGCTCAAGCTTGGACTTAAAATCCGGTTCAGAGGCGGAGAACACATCTGTTTCTCCCGCCGCTTTGGCAGCTGAAAGGAGGGCAGCAGCCAGCAAAGTGGAGGACTCAGCATCCACATCCGGAGCAGTTGTCCGGAACCTTGCGTCTTCGAATCTCATACCAGCCGTGCCATTGCTCACGCCTGCTGTTCCAGTTTCGGTGCAGAGACCTGCTGAACCCCTAACCGAATCCGAGGAAAGGATGACGGAAGTCCGGAACCTCCTACAGGAAAAGCGGAGGGAGCGCGTGGAGGAAGAGAAGCGTCGGGAGAAGGAGCAGGAGCTAAGGCGCCGCAGGGAGGGACGGGAGACGCAGACGCTGCAGGCAAGGACCAAGGAACAGGAGATCAAAAACATGCAGGTGAATACTAATACCTATTCGAAAATGAACTATTTATTATAGTTAATGTAAAGGTTTGGTAGAATCTTTTGTCTTTTTATTACTAACTATTAGCTTTCATGGGTATTTATCATCGTTTGAGAATTTTATTGAGATAATATGATATTCGAGAATGCTTAATCACTTAATACTTATGCAGCTGTTTATGGAGTGAACTGGAAAAAAACAAATGATTGTTGCCGCGTCTATAGATCTTGTTTTATATATATTTCAAAGTTTTTTATTATCTTACACATTTCACATTTTTAACACCTTTAGGAACAGATACGCCGTCAGCGCCAGGAAGAGCAGCAGACTAGGGAGCGCATCCGTGCCCAGATCGCCGGCGACCGAGCAGAGCAGGCGCATCGAGTCCAAGTTGCAGGGGACTTAAACAGCACGACAAACTCAGTGGCGGCCACCGGCGCCTCCAATGCCATCACAACAGAGTCCTCGGTGAGTTCTGTGGACGAGACGAGGCTGCAGATACGCCTGCCCGGTGGCCTGCAGCGCACTAAAACTTTTCCTGCCGGCGAAGTGCTGGCCACCGTGCGGGTCTACGTGCGAAATGAGCTGCTAGCGGCGAGCGATGTGCGGGACTTCACGCTGGCCACCAGCTATCCTCGGAGGGAGTTCCAAACGGAAGACGAAGATAAGACCTTGACCGAACTCAATCTGGTTCCCAATGCGGTGGTCCTGGTGCTGACCAAGGAACAAGTGAATCGTGTGGTGCGCAGCGGTGGTTCCCTGATGACCATGCTGGCCACGGTTATTTGGGCCATGATCACACCGGCGGCCAAGGCTTTCGACTATATTCATAAGATGGGACTGCGGCCGCTCACTCAAAGGCTTTCCGTTCTGATGGCCAACATCAGGTGGCCAGGAAGACAGGTCGACGAGGCAGTTCACCCGGGTGATGCGTGAGTACTTCTCTTATTATTAGAGCTTCCTGATTTAAATATAAATATATGATATTCTAGGGCCACTCGTCGCAACATGGACCTGTTTTCCCTGCGACCGACACCAGCACCAGGCTACGACTATGATTACGATGAGCCCTCAACATCACAGGCACCAAGGCCCACGTCGACTCCGGGAAGCGGAGCAGAAGACAGGCCCACTCCGCAAACTCAACCGGGGCCCGGAAGTACTCCTCCGCCTCATAATACCAGTCAGGCTTCAGGCTCTCAGTCACAGCAATTCCAACAGCGACCCGGTGGTTATCAGCCGCCGCGATATGGGGATGCGAATATTCGACGACTCCAGGATACAAAGAAGGACGAAAAGGACAAGGCCACGTACAACGGGAATTCCACGCAGCAGCAATAGAAGTGCTATCCGCAATCTGTTCGACAGCATTCTCTAGATATCAACCTTTACAATAACCTGTTATGCTAAATTTAATTATATCAATTCAATATTTCAAAATATTAATTCGAGGTGTTTTAATTAAATTTAATTTAAATGTGAGCTTAGTAACTAGCAAGAGATACAGGAAGATAGGACAGCCTAGCCATTTCTTTTAAGCAGCATTGAAATTCAATTAAATAAATTGCCCAATTGTAAAAAAATATAATTTCAGCTTATCAATATAACAAAAAAAAAATACACTTTCTGCCGCAAGACAACAATATGATTTACATTTTTAAAACTCATTTAATTAAATTCACAGTATGTAATATAAAGTACATATGTCGTTTTTTAAATTAAAGGTAATCTTATAACCCTTTAAGAGAAAACATCCAAGTATATTTCCGCCAATTTCATTAAATCAGTGGTAAAAATAAGCAGAGATAATGCCAACAAAAGTGAGCTTAAAAACTAATAACTGTAAAATTTTTAGATCGCTTGAAAATCAATAGTTTTGTTAAATTTTGTCTAATTTAAATAATACCTTCGAATTTTTTAAGGTAAACAGATGGATGTGGTCAACAAAAGTGAATTTAAGAAATGCTTAACTTGTTTAAGCACTGATAATGTAAAATATGACCTCTTCTGTTGATAATTTACTAAATTTGCAGCTATAAAAAACGTTTGTTTTTTTCGCTTATGATTGTTAAGCTCCGGATCTCCAGTAATTCAAATTAGTGGAAGAATATCAGAATAGTGGAGTTAACGGTGAGTCCTCCTAAGGCGCGCCTCGAAATGCTCTCGAACTTGGGCTGTTTACAAGGTGAACCACATGAGGAACTGCAGCAATTTGTAGACGTTGACCAGGGGTAACTTCCAATGGCTTTTCCTTTGCAGCGATGGCACCAAACTGGGATAATGAACCAGGCTACCAATGTGGCAATTGGTAATGATAGTGCCTCCGGGAACGCCAACGGGTACTGCATCGCCCTGCTTGACGCCATCGCAGTCGATGAGCTCCAGGGATTTGCTAAAGCAAAGGCGGATCTCCGCAAGATAACTGATGCCGCGTTTCCCATCGTAGAGGCAATGAATCGAAGGATTTTTGCCCAGCGCCTTGACAATGGCATTGTTGATGGCCGCCACCGTGTTATTAGAATCGGGATGGATATCGGAGGCGTCAAGAATGCCCGACATTATGTACTCCTCTCGCCAGGTGAGACCTTGTTCGAAGTACTTGAGTTCGGTGTCCAGTTCTTCCAAAAGCATGGCACAGGTTCCGTGCTTCTGCCACTCGTGTTTCCACAGCCACTCCGTTGAATCTTCTCCCTTTAGATCCGGCCAAAAGGTCTCCAAGCGGTCCTCAATGGGATTTAGTTTGTCGGGGCTGAAATTGGCTGAATTATTACAGAAATTGGGTCCCATTTGATGCAATTTCGTTGGCCAGATGCCGTGTATGGTCCAGAACTCCTTCTTTTGGGGCAGACTGCACTCCTGGTCGGGATTTTCCTCGCGCCAGTGGTAGCAGGTGGTTACCGGCCATTGTTGCGTGAAGATTAGCACATCCCAGTTGTGATCCTGGCCGTACATCTCCCTGAAAGAATCCTCCAGGGAATCATCGGCATCCATAGAGAATATACCAAGATCCACATCTGGACTTTTCTGCGGCTTCTCGTTCGCAGACGTTGATTCATCCGAATCCGATATGTCACTATAATGGAAAGTTGGAGACAATGAGTAATTTCATCGAATATGTAGGGGCCTTTGTTTATAGTTAGGCAATAAATAGATTACTGGGTCAGCCTTGAACTTGAATATAACTCTCGGATTACAGAGAGTATAGTTTTGGTTGGTTGGCAGGAGTCCAGGGTAGATTCCAATTAGACCTTTATGTGTCCTTCGTTTACTCCGCTTAAACTCACCTTATGGGCGTGGATTTAGTTATCACTAAAAAACAGGCCAAAATGGCCACAAATAGAAACCGCTGGCTCCGCATTTTGTTGTAGAATAATAATAATAATAACTGCGATGCAAAAACCTTGGGCGCTATCGATGTATCGAGTGTCTAACTATCGATGCATCAATTACTCGATCGTAACTATCGACTGTTGTAGTGAGTGGTATTTTTTATAATCGATTTAAATACTGTTCACCCTGGCGAACTTGGCGCCATTTTTAAATTATTAACAATTAATCTAAACAATGGCAGCCATTAAAATATATGTAATTTAATTTTTTGTTTAGATGTAATCCAGAAGTTTTTGAAGAGAGAAAATTTCGACTTGGAAGAATTTTCAAATATTGATCTAAAATTTTGTAAATAATTAATTACCAAGAAAGAATTTTAAAACTTTTTATTAAAAGATTTTCAACTTCCCATATAGGGTGATATATGGGAATATACGACAAAATAAAAATAATTATCGAAAGCGGACCAGATATTTAAAATTTGTAAAAGAGCAGTGACTATACAACACACCCATGTACTAAAGGTCAAATTAAGGTGCACCCAATGAAACCAATTGATTTAAAACACTCTTTCACTTTATAGCCCATCAACAAAAACGAGACCCAAGTTAATAAATTCCAAAGACTTATCGCCAGCTAAAATAGAAAAAAGTCGAAACAATTGCTTCGGCTGATTAGGATTTATGAAATACTTCGCCAGCTTGTCTGCTCTGTCTTTTCACCGATTCTATGTCTTGAAAATCCCCTGGCCACCGGTGATAAGATTCGGAATTGTGTGGTTCTGTTTTTCCTTTTTAGTCATCCAACTTTAATTAGTGACAACGATAATTACACATTGCAATGTTGCTGTTGTCTTTTATCTGTTCTAGTGTTGACTTCTGTTGAAAGCCCAATGACTACAGCTACAACAGCAGCAGCAACAAATCAAATGACAACTTTGAATCGCACAGCAACAACAAAAAATGACAACAATTGCTTAGCAATTGATTATTGCTTAACTGTACTTTGTACTTTTGATGATCCCCCTTTTTAGGTGGGCTTATTTAGGGGGTGGAACCCATGATGGGGTCGCTGTGTGAGTGGACAGCTGTCGGAAATCCAGACAAGTGGGGTAAAACTGTCACACTTAATGCTCCATAATTATGAGGGTTAATATCGAGGATACCGGGGTATATAGTTATTAACAACGATAGGTCGTTTTAAATAACAATTGATTTTCTCTACGAAAATATCGACTTAGCAGGCTTAATACATTTGGATAGTTGAAATATAACTAAATATTATAAATATTATTCATTGATATTTTTTGTTTTCGGCGAGTTTAAATTGAGTTTTAATTTAAAAAAAAGTTGTTAATTCACATAGTACTATACCATTTATATATACCATATAACTATGCTTATATGGTTTAGGACTTGCATTAGATTAGTTACACCTCTACCACAAAATGTTCAATTATTATAAGGTAAACATCAAGAGTAACAGTGGTATTTTCACCGAATTTTATCAATTTATCAAATTCAATTAGTTTGATTCCGAGCGATAAAACTCATTTACATGACGAACGAACTTCTAATCTATACCCCCATTCCGCCGATTCTCGTTCACCATATTCAAACAAATTCCGCTTATGTCTGGGGATTTTATCAACAACATTTGTGATTATTTTCGTGTCATGTTCTTGTAAGCCAGTATTTTGGTAGCGAGCTTTTATGCAGATTTGTGAGTGGGGACTTTTGTTTGATGACAAATTAATTTAATAATAACAGCTGCAAAAACATTTTGTAATCAATTTTAGCCTCCGCAGAACTTAACAATTAGTCTGGATGTACAATCAATTAATGTTGATTTTTAGATAGTGACCGTGGGTTTAACGAGAGTTGTCTTTCGGTGCAGGAGAATAGTTTTCTCTTTCATTTGAAATAACTTTCTTTTGAATGGGTAATAATTTTAAAAAAATGTTCTCTCTTTCTCTGTTCTTATCTCTTCCTTTTTTCCAATTTTTTTTATTTATAATCAACGCTATCATCATTATCTTCAACGTTGGCAGCATCGGGGGAAATTCCCCTTAAGACATATTTTTTTTTGGAAGAAGCCATCTCTCTTTTTCTCTTTCCCTTTCTACTTTCTACACTCCCCTTTCTCTTTTCTCCTTTCTTTTAGCGCCTGCGCAAGCGAGAAAGAGAGCTTCGTGTTTGTGGGAGGAGTCTAGGCTTGGCTTTATGTAGTGTTTTCCGGCGGGGGACTCCCGGTAATTGCTTCAATTTGGCGTACATATCCGGATCCGCTTTCCACCCTCCACATTTATTTTTCACTTCTCTTTTTCCGGCTTCCTTCGTTGGCTGGTTGTTTTTGTGCAATTGCTGTGTAAATGGCATGAGAATGATAATTGTAGCAATTATAATATTAAATTGGGAGATCATGGCTCACAGGGTTTTCCCTCCCATTTTCCTCCTATCCTCGCCCTTTTTTTATGTAGCATACTTTTTTGCTGTCATCTCCGTAGCTTTTCCAACTCCCCCATTTCCTTGGGGGATTTTTTACTCTCGACTGCTGTGTATTCTGCCGGATTTGTTTGTTAATTAGAATTCTAGCGTTGAAATTAAAATGCTCACTCCATCGTGGGGGTGAAATGGGATGGATGGAACTGTCGGGGAAAACTTCAACTAGTTTTTCGGGGCGTTGGCTGCCTGGGGGAATTTCCCACTGCCGTTTTTTATTTGTCTGCCTCCGCTCTTAATTACTGCAGTTTATTTTCTAAGTGAGACTAATTAACAGGCAATTCTCAGCATTGCGGCACATTTTACTCTTTTTTGGCACAAGATTTCCACTTTTTGTGTGTTAGATTGGTCAACATTTCGGGCTAGTTAGTCGGTTGTGATAGCTCTGGACTTGAAAGTTTTGGAGGACATTCGCAAACTTTTCACATGTGTAGTTCTGCAGTCGAAAGTTGTGTGTGCCCAATTAGTTGCAGTCGTATCTGGAGCAAAGTCATTGAAAACTGAAAAATTTATTAGATTTAATAGGAATTTAAGGGTCTTTTTATTTAAGTTTTAGTCTGTGCAGTTTTTTAAGTTTGTTTTTTACTGTATCCCTACTATTTAAATAGTTGCTGGAACTTATTGAAGAAATTAAGACGACTTTTTAAGGAAGTCAAAATTAATTTATTTCAATTTAATTAATTCAATTTTAAACGAATTTAAATTTTTTACAATTTATAGTAGGTATTTATTTTTAATTTAAAATACCTTTTTTTTCGAAAATCGCAGATTAATTATTGTATTGATTTAAAAAAATAACTTTTAAGATATTTGGTTAATAGACTTAAAATATAGTTTTAATCATATTTTGTTGGCTTAACTAAAATAGGAAAGCTAAGAAAGTTAATCAACTGCCCGCTAAATGTGAGGAGCTAAACTAGTCATTGATTGGCCACCTGGGGTCGCACAATTTTACCTTCGCCGTAACCCCCTCGATCTCGTCCGTTAACTGGGCCACAAATTTACGTTATTAGTGCAGCATTAGACGCTCGGCTAATTATCAACACTGTCTGAGGCGCAAAAAGCCCGCTTAACCTGCACCTATCATCATCCTATTCCGTAGCCGCCATCAGCAACAGTCCACCACCATTTAACATTTGAATGGCGCCCATTTCAGCACTACCCCCGAACCACTCCACACGCAGGCCATAAAACATGGCTCCCAAAGCCACCCAACCACCCACCACCCACCCACCCACACACGTAGAGCACAACCCTCGCACGTTAATGAACGTAAAATTCACTTAATTCCAACTTTAGCCATGAATTAAGCACGACAAATGGACGCTAAGAGGATGGTAAAGTGGGTGGTAAAGTGGGTGGAAAAGTGGGTTTCCGCGGGGTGGAGTGGGGTAAGCTTTCCCAGTAAAGTAGTGGGTGGCTTGGGTGTAATACTGAAAGGATCCCCGGGATAAATAAGCACAAAGACGTGCCACGAGACCCGCAAAAAGCTGTAGAGAGAGAAAGATGAAAAAGAAGAGAAAGAGACAGGCGACAGTCAGAGGAAGAGACAGAGTCGAACAATAAGTAAATGTGCTTTTATGGCTCTTAATTAAGGCAATGATGGGGTGTTTTAATACGTTTGCCAAATGTTAAATGACAAACAGCCAGTCAAGTCGTCGTTATGGCCCCAGCTTCCGATCCACTCAACCTCACCTACACAGGAAAAATAGATCGTAAATACCTCTTTGGATATAAGTTGATATCCAATAAAAAAAATAAATTTCGATAGAGGATTAAACTTCAACAATCCAAACTCAAAAGGGAAAGTCATAATCTTTTTACGGGAACCCAAATATTTCAGCATTTTTTAAAAATGTATAACTTGAGCCTTTTGTTTTTGTTTGACTTAAATAAAATTTGGGGATTCAAAATGATTTTGTATTTTCAATTTATGTTTTGAGACATTGCATTACATTTTAAATCAACAAAATAATTGCTGAATTTTTATGTCCTAAAAACAAGCAAACATTGAAGTTGAAAATTTTAATTTGTATCCCCAAATTGGTCGAATTTGAATGTAGTTTTTCCTTAGTGCACACATGCTTTATAACACACACATGTGCATTAATGAAGCTGCTACGAAAGCGGTTTGAAAGCTTTTCCTTTCAGTTTACTCCTGTCCTTTTTTTTATAATTTCCCTGCAAAGTCAGAGGCTTTTCTTTTTGCCGCTTCTGCAAATTGCCTCGCATCCCAGCCCATCCTTTGACTAATTGCTCGGACTGGTCTCTAGATTTATGACGCTCAGTGTGCACTTGGCATGCTTAATTAGCAATTGCGCCGACACTTTCAGTCCATTTCGACTTCTTCTCAAGGATGAAAATGGGTCTAGCATCATTCCAAATTGTATGGTTGATTGAGCGAATCGAAATTTGGGCTCGAAGTAGATTTTATGATTTGTAAATATTTGTCTGGGGCAAGTTTATAGCTACATTTCGGTCCAGACAGCCGAAAACGGCCTCAATTTGTGGCTTTTTGTGATGAGTATGTATGTACATCGTAAAAATCAGTGTGGCACATAAAAATCCAAATGCGCCATTTGCAA